CGTTTTCTAGTTGTATTGACCTTCGAATCTATTTATTCCACTATTTAACGAGAGGTTGGTTCAGTTATTGTCTAGCAAGATATTAATTGAAACTCAACTTTTTCCCCTTATACCCAGGCTCAGAGTAAGTAAACTGAGACCTCCATTGTAGAGAAGTCGGACAAAAATCTCTCTTAGGCAAAATAATCCATATAGTAAATATGAAGACCAAGACGGCGTTACTTTTTTATTTGGTCGGAATCTTCTTTAGCTCTATAGTTTGGGTTTGACCTCGTTTTCACAACTTGGTCGGATCGACAGGGAGACCCTTGCAGAATGTATATAGCCCTGCGTCCTCTGCCATAGCATTCATGATTTAAAGCATCAAATAGTTGACTTGATAAATTTCCAGACGCTTCGCCGGCATCATATTCGGCATCGCAAGTTATAGGCGCAATCCTTAGCATATAGTTACAATTTAATTAGGCTTACTTGAATTTACTTGCCACTAATAAGTTGTAACTCTGTGCTAAGGATGGTGTGTCTTATTGACGATGCCGGGGAGATGTCTTAAAATGTATTAAGCCAACAGTTCGATTATGGAAATCATGAATAATATGGCAGAGGACGTAATACCAAGTAAATTCCACAAGTTCTCCCTGTCTCTCCGACCTAGTTGCTAAAACGAAATCAGATAAACTCTAAAAAATCCATACTTATAAAACCATCCATCTATGGGCAGCCAGGCAAATTCTGAAGTCGCGCTTTAACTTCATTCCTTTTTTATTTTGAATCTCTAGGTGCCACTAGATTACCTCCGCTTTAGAACATATTTAGATGATACTCTTTTTGTTACTACACCATCACCACTCATATTTCTACCTGATTTTCGCTTCTTTATGTCGGATTGTAGGCTTTATTATCCATAATTTTCGTCAAAATATGACTTATTAATGTAATTAGCACACAGCGTAAATCAAAAAGAATTTGGGTTCCTTATTGCCTTCTCAAATTATTTTTTTTATAATTCACACGTTTACTTCATTGACAAAATTTCACAGTCTTGTCTGAACCTCCTTTATTTAGATTTATTTAGGTAATTTCAATGCAAATATAGCTTATCTGAATTCTTTATTAGAGCTAGTTGTGAGTTTATTTGGATCACCTCTATCCATGTAAGTAGTGCTATTAATGGATCGTACATAATACATCAGAAATAAATATTTTATTAGGTCTTATGGTTAATTCTCATATACTTGCTATACTGAGTTATAAACTTTGCAATTATTGACCTTTTATTAATGTCTAAGTTGCATTCTCTGTCTCTAATGGCGAATTCACGTTTCTGTCACTTTTTGAACTGATGGAAAAGTCTTTACACACTCTTCCATATGTTTGAGACAAATGAAAAGTTTTATTCAAGATGATCTATTGCATAATGGTTGAATTTTGTCATTATTATCCACCGAAAATATACTTGAAAGTGATCAATCTAGTAATTTTACTCTCTATTTCCCTTTAGAAATTTTCGAAGACAAATATCTGTACTTTTCTGCCTTTTATCTTTGCCTTATCTCTTTCTTTACAAGCATTGCCATTATTTTGTAGCATTTTTTCCTTGAAGCATTGACTGTTTCCATGTATCCATAAATAGAACCAGAACAAAATATTCAGTGCTGCACCTTTTCCTGTTGTACATAGTGCCCTTAATCCATGGATACGTTGGCCAGATACATTATTAGATGTTTCGCTATACTTTAGTCAATATCGCCAAGCTGACAATTCACCAATTACCTTAGTTTAGTGACCAATTTTTAATACCAGATCAAGCAAAGACTATGCAACAGAAAGGATTTCGCAAACTGTCACATCCTGATCGTATTATTTCCATGTTTTCAACGTTAGTGAATTAAGGTATCTTTAGCCAAATTAAGTTAATTATTCTCCTGTTAATTTATGAGCATCTAATGGCCATAATATTACGATCCATATATATTTAAACTCACTTGATTTAAAATTGTGACTGTTACTTATCGGCAAAAACACAAAGTGATAGAGAAATATTTTACGTTACTCTATTTGTTTTATCAGATATTTCTCAAAAAATCTGTTTCAAATACTCAAAAAATCTGCTCAAAACAATGCGTGTTCGTTATTTTCTTTTTTACAGGTACCACGTTACGAATCGCTTCAAACTATGCGCTTCCTGTAGCGTAAGTCTATTTGTCTCTTTATACTTGCAAATTATTATTTTTTTAGTCCCAGCCTTATCACGGCGTGTTTCTTAGTCTTGCTGGAACGCTAGGTTTCATCTACGAGCCCTTCAAATCTTACTCGAAGTACGAAGGCTATGAAGATGAAGCCTAAATTTAGAATAATCCGTAGCGATCTAACAGCCTGGGGGTTCATAATAGGACCTACTCTGCAGTCTTGCCTACTAGACTACCATATATGGCAGGGCCAGAGGTTATGAGCTGAAGAGTAACTGCTTGCCCTAAGGACATAGATGGCAGAAGAAGATGTGCTTCTCTTAATTACTTTCCTTTTTTCAGGTTTGGAAGTCTGGGGAATGCTAGGATTATTTGAGAGTAAACATCAGTCAACCGATGGCAGTAATACATTAATGGACGGTTAATGTTAGTGATAAACTTATCTTCATTAAGTTGAGACCAATAGACCTCAGTGACAATTGCGTTGGCCATAAAATTTGACGGACTGTATTAATTGCAAAATAAATTATAAGAGTGACGAGTAAACGTAGTATTTAGTAGTTATATATTTCTCGATATGTATTCTTATTAAAATCATTTATTATTATTAATTTTGTCACACAAGGGAGTTGATCAAGCACTCTCACTTGTTCATTACATATCTAACTTTCCTTGAGGCGTTCTTGTGTCCTTATTAACTTTCTTTATGTATATTTTCCTCATCGATGGTCTATTCTTCTTTGTCTCCAATCGCCCTTTGCCTTCATGTATCAACTACGTCATTCTCTTCAGTCCTCCAGTAGTACGCACAGGAGAGACTTGCCAAATCGAAGTTGTCTCACGACAAGCACAAGACACACCACTTTCAGTTGGCCCTGGCCTAGCCGCCAGCTTCACTGCAAGCCAGGCTAGCTTGACGACTACTGGTCTTTCTACAAACATCTCAAATCCATCGAGCCTCGTAGGTATCGGTATAGTCTCGAACCCCGGAGTCGGACTATTACCCTTGCCTGGGATAAACATACTGCCACCTGGGTCTTCGGGAGGTCAAGGGGTTGGTGGAACTTCCAATTACGCTGTCGGCATTGGTACTGGCGGTCAGGTTTCGAGCTCAAACATGCCAGTTCTTGCCGTACCAGTGATTACGACGGCTGCTGAGATGCCGGTTAACATTGAACTTGCTGATGTACAGGTTTTGCAGGCTTCGCATCAAGCAGTTAGTTATCCTTCTTATTTTTAAAAACATTTTACTCTTAATGCTGAAATAAATTGTTCCCTCTACAATGACATTACAACATTCATCACATTACCATTTAATTAATATACTTAACAACACAAGTATACTTGGCTAAAATTTATATCCCTTCCTCACATTTTCGCTGGCTATGATTTATTGCATTTTGTGATGCAAAGCCTATGATTTTAGTGGAAAACATTTCATGATAATTAATTTAAAAATAATTTTGTTTGACACCGTTTTTTGTTAATGGAGCTCATTTATATCTAATATAACTGTTTCCATTGACGGCTTAAGTGCACTTTTTGTTTACGAAGTGATTTATTCACTCATCTTTAAGTTGCCTAAATTGTGTCCTGTTGACAAATATACTAAGAAGTTTTTTATTTCTGAGATGTATTACCAAATTTTGCTTAAGCTGATGAAGGGTAGTTGAACTTATTTCTATTCACAGTGAATATGTGGTAGATTTAGATTAGGAAGTTTAGTCACTCTATTGCTTAAGAAGAATAGAATATTCTACAAGTAAATGACTATACTTGACATTGCCATCTAAATTCACGTAGCCTTACCTTCCTCCCTTTCTTTATTTTTTATAGATGGACTTTGGGTTTTATCTCGCCTGGGTTTCATTACCTTATACAACGGCAGTTGAAACTAGTTCCTGTGCATAACTTGGCGACATTTTACTTTCACTCCACCCAGGCGTTTACTTAATTTAATATAGGCTAACAATGTAGTTGGGTCACTACAAGCAGAATTTTTGAATAAGTCTTAGTCACTCTGACTAAGAT